AGCTGAGCACTTGTGGGCAGCGATCTAGGCTTCGGGGACTTTAGGGCTGTCACTGTCACCTAAGCAGCTGTGGCTCAAGGCTTGTACAAGGCTGTTCCTCATTGCCTTGGCACATCTTCCACACACCTGCCTCTTTGCTCCTTCCGTTCCCTCCCCCAGGGCCCCGGCCCCTCTTAGTCACTCATTTTTTAAAGCCAGCTCTGGATAGCAGGTCCTTCCTGCTCTGTTGTGGTGCTGCATGTCATTGCTAATGTTCTCTTGCCCTTCTTTCCAAGGCTCTGCTTTTTGTTTTTTGTTTTTCAAATTAGATCTGAATTTCTGCCATCTCTGTCCCCTGTCACTCACTCTTAGAAGGAAACCAAGGCAGGCAGTTTACAGTTTTGAGTATGCTGAGGACTTAGATTCTCAGGCTTTCCCCTTTGTATCCCATATACAAGGTCCTCTGGAGCTATAGACCTGGCCTTGGGTGACACTGGAGCATCTGCTATAGAATGCTGAAGGTATCTGCTGTCTATGTTCACAGTGCAAGGAGGGAGATAGCAGGGCATAGTGGTGATGTTGGGGGGATTTACCTCAGCCTGGCCTCCTTCATGGTGTGGCTGGGCAGCTCTAATACAGGTTAAAGTGTGAACCTTTGTGCTGTTACTTTAGAGATTTCCTTACCCTCACTGGGCCTCAGTGTCTTCATCTGTGAAATGGAAATAGAGAGTTTTTCTTGCATGATTAGAAGAGTAGATTAAGAGAGAACAGTGTAAGGGTTGGTAGACTTAGCACTCAAATTTGTCTGTGGTTGTTCAGAAAGTTTTCTGGGGTCACTACCACCAGCTGCAGGAGGGCATTGTGAGAGTCCAGACCTATGCAGTGCTGCCGCAGCACCCAGAAATGAGGGCTGTTTGGAGACCAGGAAGAGAGCCGTGGAGCCGTGTTATTCTCTGCCAGCAAGTATGGGAAAGTGGCTGAGCGCCGTGAGACAGAGGTGAACCTCAGATAGCAATTACCCTCTGCCAAGGACCTGGGAAACTCTCTTACACTTAATCTCCACAAGAGCTCAGGATATTGCGGTGGTGTCAGGGACCCAATCACAGATTAGGAAGTTTGGGTGGTCTGAGCATCATGGAAGAAGAGGAGCAGAACACAACATGGGTTGGTTTACCTGAAGCCCAGGGCCTGGGCACAAGCACTCAGGAGCCTAGACTGCATTTTGCAGTCTCAAGGGTCATGGAGGACACCAAGCCTAGAGAAGTCTGTTGTTCATCAGCCCCTGAAACGGGGGCCTTGGGTTTAGGTCTTAGATTTTCCTTTTACATTGGGCATCAGAGGGGAAGAACAGTGGAGCTGTTGTGGAATCTTCCTTTCCACTCTGCCCGGGGACCCAGGAACCAAACTCATAGGTGATGGAAACACCATTTCTGCTGGTGAGTCATTTACTTTGCCCAGAGTTACCAGCTTTTAGGTCTTGCCCCTGGGATCATTGCTGTAGCAACAGAGTCTCTGCTGCTCACTATCTTTTAAAATTTAATGACCTATGAACGATAACATAACTGGCAACTTTGAAATAATCTGTACTGGCCAATTTTCACTCAATTATTTGTTAATAAATACCAAGACCCTCCACCCCCAGCTGGAGTTTTATGCCTCTACACTGAAAATGAAAGGATAGAACACTGAATGGAGTAGAATACCTGCCTCACTCCTAGCAGAATATTTATAAAGAATTTGATTTTGGCAGAACCCAGGAACACCCAGGGTTTACTTGGTATTCATTTACATTGTGAATATTTTGAGATAGTAATTATCTGCCAAAGGTCAAATATTTGCTTTATCTATATAATTCAATTTCCCAACGGCCTTTGGGATTCAAATTAATGTCCTTGTAATATCTTCATTGAAAAAGAAGATTAATTATGCTTACATGGAACCTAATTTGGCTTATCAGACCTTTAATGTGGCTGCAATCGTGAGTGCATTTAAATTTAGGATTATGCGGGAGATCCTGGCCCCTTATTTGGGAGACTTTTAATATTTGTCATTATTTTTATGCATATAATTTTTCCCGCCTGCTCAAGAAAATTAAAATGTCGGTTCTGAAAGAAATAAACATTATGTATTGACATTGGTAATTATGTTTTGGTATTTAAAGATGCATAAAAACTGTGCATAGGGCCTCAAACATAAATTTGCAGTTAATGCCCTCGAATGGAAGCTGGAGCTCTTTTACTCAACCTGCTAAATTGGAAAAAAAGCTCATATTGGGGGTACTGTCTTGCAAAGTCAGGGGTACAAGTTTTAGGTGCACACAAGGAAACTTAAGGGATTGGGGGTCTCAGGAACTCTGTATTTAAGGTCAGGAGACTAGAGGTTTCATGTGCCATGTCTGTGATCAGGACTATCAGAAGCCTCTTCTGAGCCCTGGTTTTCTGTGAATGTTATCATTTGCTTAGGTTTGTTGTACTGTATAATTATTCTCTCAGTGATGTGGCCATCTCTTACTGAAAGCACAGAGTAGCACAGTGTCTGTTCCAGGTGGGTTTGGTGTAGAGCATTGATCCCTAAAAAAATGCAGTAGGGTCTTGAAGATAATAGGGATTGTGAGTCAGAATTTAGTTTTATATCAGTCAGCTACTACTACATAACAAATCACACCAAGATGTAGTGGCTTAATATAAGAACTAATTATTATTTTTCAGGAGTCTATAGGTCTCTGGTACTGTTGTTCTGATTTGTACTGGATGGATGAATCTTGGCTGGGCTTGTTCATGTATCCTAGATGAACTGGTAGGTGGGCTGGGGCTGGCTCTTCCAGGATGGCCTCTGATGGGATGCTTCAAGTGTTTTCTCATTCTCTGGCTCACTAGCCTGAATTTCTTATGGCTGAACAAGGGCTTGAAGGAGAAAGCAAATGCTTTTTCAAACTTCTGCTTACGTTATGTTTGCTGCTGTCTCATTGGCTGAAGTAAATGATGTGGCCACATTCAGAGTCAGTAGAAGAGGAGCCAGAGTGCAGGGCTACGAGGAGACACCAATGTAATCCTCAGGGTTAGGGCTTCACTGTGACCCTACTATTGCTCAGCTATATAAAGAGAGACTTAAAACTTCACCCCTCAGCTTCTTCAACTGTTCATTCTGGCAGAGAGGTAGTAAGATTTCGATGAGATTAATGTGCTTTAATTATTTAGCACCAGGTTCACGAGGGCTGCCCAGAGTGCTTCCCCAAAGATGCAAGGATGAACAGCCAAAGAAAGGTGCTGCGGGATTGTCTATAAGGAGGAAAAGTCAGAAACCAGCTAACTGCCCATCAGGAAGGGCCAGGGTAAATGAATCATGGTTTGTCTGTTTAACAGAATATGTTTTAACTCTAAGGTCAATAGATCAATAAGCTGGCTCAGAAGATGTCTGTGATAGATTTTTGAGCAGAAAACACAAGCGGGTTCTAGCTTAGTTTGTAATGTATGATGCTGGTGTGTGTGTGTGTGTGTGTGTGTGTGTGTGTGTGTGTGTGTGTCTGTGTACTCGCACGATGCCATTTGTGTTTGTGTGTGCTTGTTTCTGTTTATAAAGAAATGTCTGCAAGGCTATGCTCCAAGCTGAGTAGTGGGATTCAAAACTCTCACATGCCTTGAATATTTTATTCTATGGTGATTATGTATTGTTTTTGGAGTAGAAAAAGTAAAAAAGCTAGAAAAACATTTTTGAGAAAGAGCAACAAAAATAATGGCTCTTAGGTTCTAAGTTAGATGAATGATTGCTCTTCGTCTATCATTATGAAATTGATAAACTAATATAAAAATGATAACAGCTATCATTTGTTGAAGATCTATTCTATGCAGAACATATTATATCCTTCATCTGTCAGAGCTGGCATCCCCCACTTCCCAGTGAGGAAACTGAAGTTCATACTAGGAAAACAGACCTGGGCCCAGTGGAGAGCTGCTCGCCACAGTGACTAGTGCTGCTTCCACCCTGGACTGCTGCCCCTGCACCTTGCTAAGAGAAGCCCTGTAACACTGGCTACTAAGGCCAGTCACTGGGAGTGCTAGAAAGGCTTGTGTTCTAAATGCAGGTTGCCTAAGCCCTGGTCTGTATCCAGCCAACAATTCCTTTCTGGAGTGCAGCCCGAGGAATCTGCATTGTACGCATCCACAGGGATTCTGGGGCAGTCAGCCAGGTACTCAGAAGATGTTGACCTAAATCTAATGCTTACCATGAGATTGAGACCATCACCTTCACTTTACAGATGAGGAAACTGAGGGTTAGAGAGGAGAAGTCACTTGCTTAGGGGTGCCCTGACTCTGAGTCCATGTGTTATTCCACCCCACAGAGAAGACAGGTCATGGAAATGCCTTGTGGGAGGCTGGCCAGTGCTTGGAGTGTTGAGGGCCACCTGGTAGCTGGTGGCTGCTAACTGCCCTCTGCCTTGAAAACCCCACTGGGTGGAATCCTATGGCCATTTCTCTGCCAGACATGGCAGCTGATGCCAGAGTGGAATTGTGGGTGGGCTTATTGTCCATGCCTATTTTCTGGTGGGGGAATCCTAGATGATGTTGAAGATTCAGCCCAATAAAACATGGGTAAGAAATGGGCCATGTCCTCCTCCTGCTCTTCCCAGTCACGGGACTCTGATAGCTCCGTTACCTCTTCTTTTCGTTTACTGGTTTTTCCGGACAATGAGAAGAGCTGGTTGTAATCAGAAAGCTTTACACCATCTAATTCAAAGGGTGTGAGAGCCAGAGCAGGCTCCACCTGCAATATAGCCGTCAGAGATAGTAGGGAGTTGGGTGCTGGGAAGCTGGGGCTTGGGGCCACTGGCTGGGTGGGTGGGAAGCTCTCAGGCCTGATGCCCCACAAGACCTCAGGACTCTGCCTTTGCTGCCTCTGCTTTTGGGGTGGGAGGTTGCTAAGATGCTGCTTCCTGACCTCTTCCCCAGTGTGAGCAACCCTAGGATGCCACTGTCCCCCAGCTGGCTTCTTGACATTCATTTTATTTTTTCATAGCAGCTTTATTGAAGTTTACTTTGCATACCATACAATTCCCCCCACTCAGAGTGTGCAAGTCAGTCAAATAAAGGAATAATATTCACAGAGCTGTGCAACCACCATCCCATCAATTTTCAAACATTTTCACCTCTCCCCACAAAAACCTGAAGCCTTTAAGCTACCCGCCTTCCTTCTTCCATCCTGCTGCAGCCCTGGGGCCCCCGATCTTCTTTCTCATCCTATAGTCTGCATATCTTGGATGTGTTGTGTAAACTGAAGCATGCACTCTGTGGCATTTGGTGGCTGGCTTCTTCCTCTCAGCGTGTTTGCCTTTCAGATTCACTCACGGTGCATCAAGTCGCTGACTTCATTTCTTTTTGCTGTGCCATCATATATTTTATTTAATAAGTGACTTTTGTTAGCTCAAATATTTACCAATCACTTGCAAAATGCAAAGTGGTGTATTACCAAATTAAAAATAAAGGTAAGAGTCCATTCCCAAGAATTTGTTTTTTGGTAAGAAGAGTATCACATAAGTTGGAAGAATGATTGGACCAGAAATTCCACAGCTGCTTGCTTTGTAATTACCAAAAATGAAAAAGACCTTAAATGTGTAGAAAGAGGAATCTGGCTAAATAAATTATGCTAATCCATGTAATAGAGTACTGCAGAGGCATGTGGATTTATACTCATTGGCGTGAAAAGCCATCCACACTGTATAGTTGAGTCCATTACACGATCGCATTTTTATAAAACTGTCCTTTCATTTTATGCCCATCTGGAAGGGTGTGCAACAAAATGTTCACACAGAACATTTATTCCTGAGGAGTAAATTTTAAGTGGTGTGTATGTAGTTTTATTTGGGGGGAGAGAGGAAAGAAACTAGGGGTAGGTGTAAACAAGCATAGTAATATAAGATATCCCTAAGAGTGTTTATTTTCTCAAATGCAAGTCGTCTGCATTTGTGTAGGAAGAACTTCCACATCAGTCTTACTCTGTGGGCACTGGGAAAGAGGTAGGGCTGGGTGATCAAATGTATACTTGGCTCTGAGCTCCCCAGCTGCCAAAGCTAAAAGGGAAATGAGCATCTGAGAGTTGTAGCAGAGTCATGGCTATTCCTGAGAGGCTGATAGAGCTCCTTCTGGGTCTCAGGAAACAGCTCTCCCCAACTGTGGTGAACAGCATCGTTCACAATATTTGCTTCATTCACAGAAGAGCGTTGTCCAGGTGTCATCGCTTGTGTGGGCAGTGGAGGGAACAGAGCGAATGAGCTACCACAGGAGGCAGGGTGGGGGTGTCCTGCAGCTCCGGAGACCTGACAACACTTGATGCATGCAGCTGCAGTGGAGGGAGGGGCAGGGTCTCTCCTGGGTGCTGGCGCCGGCCAGGTGCTCCTTCTCTCACTCCACCTCCTCTCCAGGTGGGGCTCCTCTGGTCCATTTGGCGGCTAAGACATCTGCGTGGGAACCTCCTGGCTGGAGCTCATTTAGCTGCAGAATGGAAGGGCAAGAAAGGTGCCAGGTCTTCCTGGGGCTTTGGGGAGTTTGAACACTTTACCCCTACATGCCAGACCACACCTTCCTGGTCTGGGACACCATCCCCATGGAATTGTCTCCTCTCTGACTTTTGGCGAGGTGGGGAAGAGGGAACAACACGTCAGGTGCTGAGGGCTGGACCTGGCATGCAGAATCCCCCTCCCCACCACCTGTGTCTGCTTGGCCCTCTCTCACCTGCTCTCCTGTGTCTCTGAAATGTACCTGTGAGGATGCTAGTCCCTCTTTCCTGAGAGCCTGTGATCAGGAAATAGACTCAAGCCTGCACATACTTTGTTGCATACAGCATGGATCGCTACACAGCACTCCAAATGGGTGAATGTGACCCACACACAACGGAATGTGGAGACAGAATGCATCCGTCAAAGTATGAATCAACTGCCTTTAATCCCACTACTTTAGGAGGCTGAGGCAGGAGGATTGCAAGGTTAAGCCCAGCCAAAGCAACTTAGTGACTATAATTCTGGGGGAGGAGGAGGAGGAGGAAGGAGAAAAAGAAGAAAACTGATTGAGGATACAGCTCAATGTGAAGGCTCTGGGCTCAATCCCAAGTACAGGAGAAAAAAAATCACTCATTAAATCTTTAGGGGCAATGCACAATACACTCCAACACAGACAAGCACACAGTTATGGATGTGTGCATGAGAATGTGTTCACACACACTTCCCAGAAATTTGCACATGATTGGAAAACTCTCAGGAGCTAAAGGTTTGTGAGTTAATGGAGGAGAAGAAAGTATGGAGGCTGCCTCTTGAATGTTTCATTATTGCTCCCCACATCACCTGAGTCACCCAAGTTATCTCAGGGGTTGATCTCAGCAGGTGCTGTGGCCTTTGGCTGGCTGGGTCCTCCTGTGGGTGGGTTGATTCTTCCTTCCCACTGGCATTTTCTGCCTGTGAGTCTCCCAGTGCCCATAACCAGGCAGAGCTGGGTGAAGAGGACATTTGCCATGCTGAGCTCTGGGCACTGATACCACCTTCTTATCAGTGAGTTTCTACCACTCTACACTCCAGGCTGCAGATCAGGCTGCTGGACACTTCATCACCGCTGGGGTGGGATTTCCATTCCTCCCAGGCAAGTGGTCTCCACTGGCACAGAGCAAGTTCTCTGATCCCATACAAAGCAGGCAGGTGCTGGGGTGGCTATGGAAGGTTGATATCTAAAGTTCCCTGCGTTCTGGGAGTCAGAGTGTATTTGTGGTCTGCTCACTTTGCAGACTTTTATGTCTGCAGCCTGGGTGAGGTTTCCTTTGCAGAGCACAGCTCACAGGGAGTTTATTGGCTGGAAAGATGGCTTACTATCCCATTCCCTCTTCGCTGATCTCTATTTGCTCTGCACCCTGCTGCCGAAAGAATGGTGCTCAGCTAACAATCTGCAGGCTTCCCATGGGGCTTATTTTGGAGCCTGACCTACCATGAGCCCCTTGTCTCCCAACCTGTCTCGCAGGGAGGCCTGCAGTAGTCTGCTACAACCCTCACGCCCCACCCTGGGCCTACGCACATTGGTCTTCAAGTCTCTGGTCAGATGTCATGTCCTCCAGGAAGTCGTCTCCGAGCCGAGGCTGGGTTCATGGCTCCGCTATCTGTCTCCCTCCCCCTCCCACCTCTCGTCAGCCTGAATCTCAGTCCTTAGGGTTCTCTTTCATCAGCAGAGGCGCTCTTTGTGGACATGGTGGTATCTGTCATACCCAAAACAGAGCAGGACCCCAGGGTGCCGGGCCGGACACCTCCACATGAGACAAGACAAAGCAGCATAGTGTCAGGCAACGTGGGCGGGTGTATGCAGTCACCAAAGTCTCCCTTAGCTTTGCTTCTCAGTACCATCCTCTGTGCTGTGCTGGGCTGGCTTGGGCTGGGTTATTAGCTTCACTCTACCTGACATGGTAAGTAGTTCCTTACACATCTGGAAGAGACAGGAGGTGGCCTGGACCAACATCTCGGATCCCTTCTGCTGGAAGGGAGGAGTGGCAGGGGGAGCTTTGGGAGGAGCTTACCTGCAGCTGCAGAGACTGGGGCAGTCTTTAAGTGTAGAAGCAGGCCGTGCAGCACCTGTGTGGGACACTGTAGGACACAGGAACCGGTTACCTTCCTGGCCTCTTTGAGCTTGGGAGAAGAGGTGAGAGGTGTGATTAGGGCCACAGCTAGGACATCTAAAGTCAGGACAAGTACTGAATTTCATCCTGTAGGCTACAAAGACAGATCTATGAGCAGACTAGAGAATGCCCCCCTCCCTTTGTCCTTGTCTGACCTTGGAGAAACTTCTCCAGGATGCAGGCAGATTCTCCCAGCGGTTTCTGCATCAGAGGTGGCAGCTGGTGGACGCTCTCTCCGGGAGGGGGAGGAAGCAGCTGCCATCAGGATGGAATGGGGATCAGGTGGGAGGAGGTGTGTGTGTGTGTGGGGGGGGGGCGGGGCTTGAGGCGGGAGCTGCGGCTGCCACCTCTGACTTCCACAAGGGGTCAGTGTAACATTAAAGTTTCTCCCAACCGCTCTGTCCCACCCAGGCCTGAAGGAGGCTCTTGGGTTCCTGAATGTGGGTCAGCTGGTTATATTTGGCACACCTGGTGGGCAGGTAGAAGGCCAGATAGGTAGATGGGGGATTCAGAGTGAATTCTCTTTCTTCTTTTGTCTTGTTTTGAGAATTTCAGGAGGAACTGAGGAGATAGCCATGGCCGATATATCTAAAAATGGACCTTGATTTAGTATAATTGTTTTATGTGCTTTGCATTTTTTTTTGGTCTGTTAGTCTGGCTGTTAATTTGTGTTTATAATAATTAACTCAATAAAGACTTAAAAATAAATTTTAAAAAGATGTTTATGTACAGACTCCCCACAATGATCGTAATCATTATGCATTACAAATATATACTCATAGTAATAAACATTTTACAGGGCCATGGGAATGATCTGTACGTATACAGCTGTAACATGGAGAGGTCTTATCACCCCTTCGCCTCTTCTCAAGAGGCCTGCAGTGGACCTAAAATTGCCCTTGCAAGAGCCCCCTCCTGCTTCTACCTGCTTTCATCCTGGAAGGTGGCTTCCAACTCGAGGGAAGTTCCTGCAAATGACAGATGCCAGGACCTTAGGAAGTCATAAAAATCACATAAAGAGCCAGTGATCCTACACAGTTTACAACTTTCTGCTTGGTTGTTTAGGGAGTTGAGAAATGGACCTGAAAGAGCTGTCTGATTTGCCCAAGGTCTTGTAGCATGGAGCAATGGCGAAGCCAGGTTAGAATCTTGGTGACACCTTCTGCACTGATTTTTTAATTAAAAAAAAATATATATATATATAAAAGGGGAGATTAAGATGAAAGAGGACATAACAACACAGATCATAACAGAACAATTTAAGCAACACAGTGTTTCACCACAGGATAACCCGACTTAACAGTAGTTACCATAGTGTCTCTTTCCTTGAAATATTTGAGTATAACTTCGTATACTGTAGCATCAAACATATCAACACAATGTAAAACTATTCAAGAGAATGAAAGTGTTACAGGGTATTTAGAACCAACTAACAGAAAATGAACAATGGTTTCTATATTATCTCCTTGCCTATAAAAATTTTTGTTTATACTATCACATGTAATAAAATCCAATAAGATACAATATGATAAAACTGATGGAGACAGAAGAACAAAAGCTTGATGGGACTTCAAAACCATGATATTAAAACAGCACTAGCTATTTTGATGTTTTGTTTTCTTCAAAATACCTGTTCATATGATCACAGACAGTAAAATCAAACAACCCAGAATAAAACCATTCCAATTCATGAATGAAAACATTATAAGGCTTCAAAGCAATATATTGGGGAATCATGATTACCACATACTTTTATGTATTCCTACTATTTCTTACACTAGGGAAACTATTCGATATTTATACATGTGAGTTTGATTTATTTTTCTTATGAGTAGCGAAATAAGCTGCACCCACTTATTTATAAATATCTCAATGTGATCATTCTTTAGAGCTGAATGGTACTCCATTGTATAAAAATACCACAACTTTTTTATCCATTCCTCAGTTGATGGACACCTAGGTTGTTTCCAAAATCTGGCTATTACAAATTGTGCTGCTATAAACATGGGTGCACATATATCACTGTGGTATGATGTTTTCAGTTCTTCTGGGAATATCCTAGAAGTGGAATAGCTGGAACAAATGGGACTTCCAATCCCAGCTTATTGAGAAATCTCCAGACTGACCTCCACATGGTTGTACCAGTCTACACTCCCACCAACAGTGCAGGAGAGTTCCTTTTTCCCTACAGCCTCTCCAGCATTTGTTGTTGGTAGTTTTCTTGATCCTGGCCATTCTTTCAGGAGTGAGATGGTATCTCAGTGTGGTTTTAATTTGCATTTCTCCAATGACCAATGATGATGAGCATTTTTTCATGTATTTATTTGCCATTTGCATTTCTTCATCTGAGAATTGCGTATTCATTTCAGATGCCCATTTTTGGATTGGATCTTTAATTTTGAGGGTCTGGTTTTTTTAATTCTTTATATGTTTTAGATAGAAGTCCTTTGTTTGAGGGACAGTTCACTAAGATTTTTTCCCAGTTTGTGCATTTTGTTTTCACTGTGCTGGAGATTTCTTTTTACATGCAGAAACTTTTTAATAAGATGTGATCCCAGTTATTGATTCTGGAAAGTATTTCCTGTGCGGTTTGATTCCTGTTCATGAATTCTCTACCTACCCCTATGTCTTCAAGGTTTTTACTCAATTTGTCTTCCAATAGATTTAGAGTTTCTGTTTTAATATTCAGATCTTCAATCCATTTAGATTTTAATTTAGTACATGGTGATAGACATGGGTCTAGTTTTAATTTTCGGCATACGGAGAGCCAGTTTTTTCAACACCATTTATTGAAGAGACTGTTGTTCTTCCAGTGAAACTGTTTGGCCCCTTTATCAAAGATAACGTGGTTGAGTGTGTTTGTAGTTGTGGTTGTATCTTCTAATCTATTCCATTGATCTTCACCTCTGTTTTGATTCCAGTACCATGTTGATTTTACTACAATTGCTTTGTAGTATAACTTCAAGTCAGGGATTGTGATGCCTCCTGCCTTGCCTTTGCTGCTTAGAAATGTCTTTGCTATTCTAGGTCTCTTCTGGTCCCAGATGCATTTTAGGAGTGATTTCTCTAGATCTATGAGGTATGTTGATGGTATTTTTATTGGGATTGCATTGAATCTGTATAACAGTTTTGGGAGAATGGCCATTTTCACAATATTTACTCCTCCTATCCATCAGCAAGGGATGTATTTCCATTTTCTGAGATTGTCTTCAATTTCTTTTTTCAGTGTATTATAATTTTCTCCATATAGATCTCTCATTTCTTCCAGAGGATAACTCCTGAATATTTCATTTTTTTTGGTTGCTAGTGTGAAGGGTGTGGCTTTTCTTATTTCTTTCTCTGTGATCTTGTTAGTGTATAGAAATGCTATTAATTTTTGAGTATAGATTTTGTATCCAGCTACATTGCTGAATTTATTCATTATATCTAGGAGTCTTTCAATGGAGTTTGGGGTTCTTTTATGTAGAGTATCATATCATCTGCAAATAATGATAATTTAACTTCTTATTTTCCTATCTTTACCCCTTTTATTTCTCTCTCTTGTCTAAGTGCTCTGGCTAGTATTTCCAGTACTATATTAAATAGGAGTGGTGATAAGGGACATCCTTGTCTTGTGCCTGATTTTAAGGTAAAGACCTTCAGTTCTGGCCATTTAGTATGATACTGGCTGCTGGTTTGTCATTGATGGCCTTTATCATATTGAGGTAAAGACCATCTATTCCAATTTTCTGTAAGGTTCTTATCATAAACGAATGTGGGACCTTATCAAAAGCTTTTTCTGTATCTATAGAGATGATCATGTGATTCTTACTTTTGGCTTTATTGACATGGTGGGTTACATTTATTGATTTATGTATGCTGAACCATCCTTGCATGCCTGGGATGAATCCCACTTGGTCATGGTGTATAGTTTTATTGATAATTTGCTGTATTCTACTTGCCAATATTTTATTGAGGATTTTTGCATCTGTGTTCATTAGGGAGATTGGCCTGTAGTTTTCTTTTTTAGTTGAGTCTTTCTTAGGTTTTGGTGCTAGAGTAATATTTGTTTCCAGGAATGACTTAGGAAGGATTGCTTCCTTTTCAATTTCATTGAAGAGTTTGAGGAGTGTCGGCATTAAGTCTTCTTTGTACTTCTTGTAGAATTCTGCAGTGAATCTGTCTGTGCCTGGGCTTCTTCTTTGTAGATAAAGATTTAATTACATTTTCAATTTCATTAATAGAAAATGAGTTATTCAGCAGTTTTACATCTTCTTGACCTAGCCTTGGTTCTTCATATGTTTCTAGGAACCTATTTCTTCTGTGTTATCAAACCTATGAGAGTAGAGGTTTTCAAAATAGGTGTTGATGATCTTCTATATTTCTATAGAGTTTGTAGTGATTTTGCCTTTTTCATTCCTTATTGCATAAATTTGAGCTTTTTCTTCCCTTTTTAAAATTAGGTTGGCTAGGAGCTTATCAATTTTATTTATTCTTTCAAAGAACCAACTCTTTGATTCATTGATTTTTTTGGATTGTTTTCTTAGTCTCTATTGCATTAATTTCTTCTCTGATTTTTATAATTTCCTTCCTTCTTTTGGCTTTGGGCTTGACTTGCTCTTCTTTTTCTAGATGTTTGAGGTGTAGTATCAGGTTGTTTATTTGTATTCATTCTGTTTTCCTGATATGGGAACTCAGTGCAATAAATTTTCTTCTGAGGACAGCTTTCATTGCATCCCACAGATTCTGGTAAGTTGTATTTGTATTTTCATTTTCTTGTAGGTATTGTTTAATGTTTTCTTTAATTTCCCCTGTAACCCCCTGATTACTCAAGAGTGTGTTATTCAGTTTCCGTGTGTTTGTGGGATTTTTGCAGTATCTTTTATCATTAATTTCTAATTTCATGGCGCTATGATCCGATAACATGCAAGGGGTAATTTCACCTCTTTTGCATTTATTTAAGTATGTTCTGTGGGATAATATATGGTCTATTTTATAGAATGTCCCATGTACTGCTGAGAAGAATGTTTATTCTGATATTGTTGGATGGAACACTCTGTGTACATCTACCAAGTCCATTTGTTCACAGGTGTGATTCAGTTCTGTTATTTCTTTGCTGTTTTTCTCTCTAACTGATCTGTCCCTTGGTGTCAATGCTGTGTTAAGGTTTCCTGTTATAATTGTGTTACTGCTAATTTGGTTCTTCATTTCTGTTAATACTTGCTTTACGTAACTGGGTGTTCTGGAATTTGGTGCATATATATTTAAGGTTGTTATCTCTTCCTCTTGAAGCTTTCCCCTAACCAG